CCCCCCTTCACGGGTCGCCACTCACGGCAAACACGTGGGTGGAACCTTCCCTGGGAGGTCCCCTCACCACGTACAGGAATACACGTCGAAGGGGCATACGAGAGACCCATTTTAGTTCTCCTGATAACCCCTTTCATCTTCTGATCAATTTCTTCATCAAATTCTAAAGCTTGTGTATTCATAACAATTTTAGCAACTTTCGGTAGTGTTTAGTCAGTAGTTTAATGACTTTATTCAGATAGTAATTTCAAGTAACCATATCTTTATGATGAGATATAACAATATGGATATAGTGGATGAACATTGCAAATATGCGAACTTCACACGAGGAGGTTCTAGGGTGTTCAACAACAAACTCTTGTGTACTGAATAGGAATTTGTTATGATAGATTAACCTTTTAACCCTAAGTTTGTTTGCTTGTTATTTAGCAAAGGCACATAGTGTCCACCATGGGTAATCGAACCCTGGATTTTAGTGTTGTAATTCCGTAGCCATAACGCTGTCCCACCAGGGGACAGAATTACCGGTGAGGCCCATATCCCATCGGCTTTTTAAAATACATTTTCTGAATTATGTATGCACCAATTAACTTATGGGTCCATAACTTTGTTGGTTACATGGTCCCTGATAACAAAAAGAGTCGCATAAAACATTAATCGAAAACACTGTCAATATTGTGATTAATCCCACTAATTGCTGCTAGGGTTTCCAATGTATTTCACATCGATAAAGATTAATGAAAACATTTATTGTTGGAAAATTACCCTTAAATGTCCACATGTTTTTTTGTTATTTTATAGTTTCAGATTTGGGTTTGTGGTATTGGTGTTCAAATGCTTGGTAAAAGTGTATCTTTCTTCTGAATATTCTGGTTGGCAAGTAGATCGTTTATGATCACACTGGTGATATAAATGAGAATTAGTATGAGCTGAAATAAAGCACAAGTAAGATATCAGTATTATTATGTAATATGTATGCAGTTTTTCTGTGTGACTGTTAAAATAAACTACCAACAGTGCCCGCGCCATGCGCATATATATTTCGCATATATATAGCGTGCGAGTGCATCATTCTCTGGAAGGAAAAAATTGAAATAACTACCAATCATGTAAAAGTGGGAAAATAAATAAAGTAGGAGTTTTAAAGCCCCCTCTGGTGCATATCAACAAACCTCTAAAAGTTTCATGGTTATCAATTTGGAAACTAAAAAAAAAAAAAAAATCGTTACAGAGAGACAAACTCAAACCGCTTTGTGGTATAGAGAATGAATTTTCATAAGTATTTTTTCTTGTTTTTACTACTTACAGGTACAAGTACTCTCTTGATCTCATGAAGGGCGCCCATAATATCCGTCACAGAACATAGTACATGTGTTGACACGACGGCGTCTACGCTCTTGTCCGGTATTTCGGCCATGTTTTCGGCCATAGCAGTCACAAACTGTTCCACTTCGACATGGCAAAATTGTTCTCTATTCTTTTTAAAATGGGTTTCAAAATACGGGTTAGGTTCGACAGATATGAGTTTGCATCCCGATGTATAATACTCCAGATTTGTACCAGAACCAACACCAATCTCCAAGACTCGAATCATACCTTGTCCCTGTGTTTTCAAGCGTGGATCACAAGAAACCATGGTGTTCATATCAGAAAATAGTTTTTGCTTAAAAACATGCAACTTCTTGACTAAAGATGGTGCCATATACCGACTAACAAGGAAAGCAAAGATTCGTTTCTTTGCAGTTTTATGTTTATTGTACAACGCCCACATCAAAACCAAGAAAACTCCCGCTAATAGGCCGTAAGTTACAACGAAATTACCAAGGCTCGCCATTATTTGACTTACTTTAAGGAAAACTAGCGAAATAAAACTTGGTTTCAGTCACTAGAGTTTTTAGACTATCACTTAATATTTTGCTACCTTATAAAACGAGTTGAAGACTTGGAAACCAGCCAAGTATTTGAAACACTCACGTGATATTTTCATGATGCAACAGGCTAACTTGTAACTACGTCAGGATAAGCAGGGTCAACTAGTGCTAGAGATAAAAAAACAACACTTACACACATCATATAGTGTGGAAAGCAGCATGCTCAAAAAAAATTATTATAAATGCACACTTATACGATACACTTGCACGCAGTTCTTTTAATAACACACATTTGCAGGCGAAACATTTTAACACAGTCCTTAGCACCCACGACTCCAAGTCCAGATTTACAGATGGGCACAATAACCACTGGGACACGCCAGAACCTAATCATAATTATTGGAGAGAGGGAAGTATTATTAGCATGATCTCATAGTTGCTTTTCACGCTGAATACATTACATTCTTTAGGGGAAAAAAAAACAACAACACTAAAATAAACCAATTGTATGTTTCGGCAGATAACATTATCTATAGGCCCGGCATGGCCAGGTGGTTAGGGCATTGGACTCGCAATCTGAGGGTCGCGGGTTCGAATCCCCGTCTCCACCAAACATGCTCGCCCTTTCAGCCTTGGGGCGTTATAATGTGACGGTCAATCCCACTATTCGTTGGTAAAAGAGTACCCCAAGAGTTGGCGGTGGGTGGTGATGACTAGCTGCCTTCCCTCTAGTCTTACACTGCTAAATTAGGGACGGCTAGCGCAGATAGCCCTCGTGTAGCTTTGCGCGAAATTCAAAACAAACAAACAAACTTTCACTGCTAAATTAGGGACGGCTAGCGCAGATAGCCCTCGTGTAATTTTCCGTGAAATTCAAAATAAAGGTTTAAAAATTCCGTCTATATGCAACAAATTTTGTAGAATGCTGATATAAAGTAAGTATTTCTTTGTTTTTAAATGCAAGTATCATTGTTTTCGCTGCCTATTTCTACTTGTAAACGACTGTTTAAAAGTATTAAGCAGGTTTCATTCACATTTAGTGTCAGTAAAGGCCCAATTTAAATTATTTTTACGAAACTATTGCGATAACAACGTATACTCTGTTGTATTTTAGGATTTTCAAACTGGTAGATATCTCTCAGGAGGAAAGTACGCTAGAATTCGTTGAACTTATTTCTGTGGGCTTAGTGATGCATTGAATCTGTTCTTTAGTGCAAGATTTCGATCTTTTGTAAATAGGTGTAACTGTGATTATATTTTTCATGTGTGGTCAATAAGAATTATCAGACTTTTCACAGTAGTCTTTTGATAATCTAATTAACTGAAGAGTACGAGTAAACGTATTTCTACCTATTGGTATCATACAATTTTTTTTGTATCTGTAAGAGTTGTAATTGGATAATTTCATAAGACTACCATAAAATTCCCGCGCTCCGCTGCGGGGCTCAAAGGCCTCTCATGATTCACCAATTAAGATTTTCCATTCTTCCCAATTGCTTCTAAAGCTACTCCGGGGGGGGGGGGGGTCCGTTTCTTTAAGAAAACATGGTACCTGAGCACATTTGCTAAGTTTGGTTCCGCTAGCTTGTGAGTGGAGATATGAACACAGTTTCAAACATGGCGACCATGAAATTCTGAGCTTGGTAAGGGGGGTAACATACACAATATCCAATGCCAGATTCGGGTTCCGCGACCATGAAAATATTCTGTTAGACTCTCATCGTGTCTGAGTGTCCGAAAGCCTCTTCATCCCCCCCATTGGTAGGGGGCTAGGACATACCAATAAGGACATACCAAGTCCACCTGCCACTAGTTCCTGAACTGTGGAAAGATTTAGCTGGATACCCATATATAACATGCTACAAGCCGAATTTCATACGATCAATGCAAAACAAATGTCTTCAAATTAATGAACACGAACATTCGTTAGCAACAAAATAAGAACTTAGAGTAGCTCAATCAGTACCCAGTCTGTTGTTGCTAACAAAATAACTGCTAATTGTAGAACACGCACGCTTGGTAAGAGGAAAAACACTTTATGACACACATAGTTTTAGTGCTTCTAAATATGGACTAAATGTTCCTCGTAAAATCAAAAGAACGAAATTCTTGTCTATCTTGGCGACTCGAGCCCATTATAAGCTTCTATCTACACACACGATTATACTTTATTTCTGCTTATATCCTACACATCCAGCTCCAGTGAAAGGCCATTCGGATTTCAAGTACTTTCCTACCTATTACTGGTCCAGATCACATGATATAAGCCACTGCACAGAGAGGTTAATCGTGAAAACTTTACGTTTAAGAAGCAATATGCTTTTCTTTTTCTTTGAGACCGTTAACATTGCTTTTCAGATAGAAAAAAATTATTGTTTCTCAGAATGTTAGAAATTATTTCTCACTATCGCCAGTAATAACCAAGAGTAAGTATTAGTTTTGCATTGTGTAAATCAGAGATTGTTTGTTTGTTTCTATGTTATTAAGTTTTTTCTAAGATGATCTCAGCTTATGTTTAATTTCATATATATTATCGGTAGAAGCTTGATGGGTTAGGCGAACAAAAAGCAAAAGTTAAACGATATAGGACATAAGTATAAAATTCATTCAGTTCGCTGATTTACGCCACCTGCTGGTTCAGTGGTTAGTCTTATAGCCGACAGCGCAAAAGATTCAAATTTTGATACCCGTGGTGGGCAAAGCACACATAGTCCATTTTGTAGGTTTGTGTAACCAAGTACCGATGTTTATTAAATTCTAAAACAAAACACAAACTCATTGCAATTTTTCTTTTCTGTTTTCTATTACAGAACCAGCCCGGTGTCTCAGCATTAAGCTTCGTGGCTCATATACCGCTAGAATTTGAGGTTCGATCCCTGAGATGTGGACAACGTAGATATCTCATTGCGAAGTCTTGCTCTTAACGGAAAAAAAAAGATTTAATACCGACAATGTACATCGATGAAACTTGGTTAACATCAACATATATATCTTAGAACATGAACAAAGCATGTTATAAAAATTTGATCACAATTATTGGAGACTGTTATGCAGTTTTTTGTTTGTTTATTTTTTTAGTTAGAAAGGTAATATTTGTGTGCAAATAGGGGGGAAAAAAGCTTTTTGAGTCAGCAGTTACAGCAGCGGTAAAAAGAAATGTGGAAGTTATTAATTAAAGTGTCCAATAGTTCTGAAACAAATGTATTCGTATGTTAAACACAGACAGACATTACAGTTTACAGCACATGAGGTTGTTCTCCTGGGACTATTTTATTCCAAGTGGTCATCATCAGATAAAAGTTACATTTTTCAAATTTAACTTTTACTTAATCATGACCTTATGCTATGGATCAACATTTTGTAATTATTAAGATCAAAACTGTAAAACTGCTGTAAAAGTCGCTGTTATTGTATTTTGAATTCATTAATCTGTTCAGTAGGTTTCTCACTACATATTAAATCCAACAAAGGTTGATTCCAAAAAATGACCAAGAATGCTGACCAAAACTGCACAGGACCAGGATGAACATATCGGGCATGATTTTTGGAACCAAAACTATGAAATTCAAATTAAATTTTGGTTAGAATTGAAAAACAAAAAATAAGATGAATCAGATAATTTTATCGACTCGTAATTATTTCAGAAAGTGAAAAATGAACTAAATGGTATGTGCACGAACTTACGTTAACGTTAAAATTGACTTATGAAAATGAATGGTATATAACTCTCAGAACATGATACAAAAGTGTAGTTTGTCTTATGAGACACTCAAAGTGATATACATATATATATATATATATTAGTTTGTACCACACCAGACTTTATTATAATACATATTTCAGATCTGTGTAAACAATATTAACATACTCTTTTTCAGATATATAACATATTGTCCACGTGCCCCTTGTAGAATATAATGTATTTATTAAAAAAGTAAACATGTTGTGTGGTTTACAAAACATTCAGAAGAATAAAATTATTAGGGCTCACTACATACCACTACATCAAAGTAATGTATAGTCAGTATAAAACAATATAATAAGAATACACGTTTTTTTCTTTCTTCTAGTATACACGTTTATATTATCTGACTTTACTCTTTATTAAAACAATGCTCGTTTGAATACTAATATCAAACGGGTTTGATAAGTTACCACATTTTAAAGTTGTGAACCTTTAACGTATCAAGATCTTGTGGTAAAATTAACAATAGTGAAAAACGATAATAGAACACTGCATAAAGTACAATAAGATGTTAAATAGATAATAGAGCACTGATATATATATATAT